GGTTTCGTTTATTCTGGGACGCGCTGTACATGTATGACCCTTTGTTCTCTGACCTCATGACCCTAAAATCTAATCAGTGTATTTGCTCTGCAAGATATATACATGTCCTGAGCTTGATAGTAATCCATCTTTCGGGTCTAATGCTATACTAATGCGTTCGCAAGCTATTTCTGCGTACTTAATAAGCCCCATGACCTTTGACCTTTGACCTCATTACCCAAATTCTAATCAGTTCAGTGACTCAGCAGTCTTGAGTTTGATGGTAATCCGTCAATCGGTTATCATGAAAATATGATCATGAGCTATTTTTGCATACATAATGAGCCCTGTGACCTTTGACCTCGTGAACCCAAAATATAATCAACTTCTTAGCTCTGCAAGATATATACATGACCCGAGTTTGGCGGGAGTCCATCAATCGGTTCTTGAGATAACGCGATCACGAGAACGGGAGGTACGGACGTACGGATGGGCGGACGGACTACCTAAGAACAAAATGCCACCGGCTACTTCGTTGTGGAAGCATGCATACAGCAACAAAATGGCAATTCTTAGGAATCAATAGTTCACTGTGACGGCAAATGCAACATGGTCGATAGACAGGGTTATGTGGCTTCAGGTATGTCCAATCTTTTCCTGTATCGCTCTTCTGAGTTGTGCAAACGTCATGGATGACTCATCTGAAATGAGGATAACAGGAAAGAGACAGTTATATATTTGAATACTTTGTGTTATTAAGCAAATAATTACTGTTGGTGTAGGTGATGGGACAAACTATCACTTCCGAGGCTATCTGGATGTAGCGCTGAGGAAAGATAGAGTATACATTCAGATCGCCGAGGAGGTGATAGTTTGCCGTCGCCTGAAACCAAAGACATTTAGTACATGTTTCAATGAGAAGCCATTTTTAAGGGAAACGTAAAATGTGGTCTTTGTAGACAGGTGGTCTTTGTTGACAGGTCACTAAAGCAGAGGGGTGTTTTACAAAGATCCTAAGTTTAATTTATCTCTAATTTGGACTTAACAATATTATGGAAAGCTGTTAGCATCTTTGCAATTATTATTACTTCAGCAACGTCCTGCATTTTTGTTGCCTGGTTAAAGCCCATTATGTCAGACAAATCAAGTCAGGTCACATATTGCTTATGAAAGCTGTAACTTATCAGCGGAAATTTTGGAGGTAAAGGTATTTGGAGGTAAAGGTATTGCCATCAGAAGTTTAAAACTTTCAAACAAGATTAGTAAATGACATATTTGTCGAGTGCCATCTCAGTCTCCGATGTGGTACTAACGTCCATGCGGTAAAATGTCGGCTGCATATCCCAACCCGGCATTCTTCATGGCAGTGTGTAGTCTATCCACCTGGTCCCTCGGCCTAACTCTACGTCTCCAGTCACGGAGCATCTCGTCGAAGCCTGACCTGGAGACACTGTTGAAGGTCAAATCTGGTCTGTTAAGGTACTTCTCTACGTCTGAATGCGTGAAGCCGAGCTGAACGCCCAGACCCTGGACGTCCTTAGGTATGAACAGGACGTTGGTCAAGGTCTCAAGCAGCTTGTCTGAAGCAAAATGTCGCCCTTGCCTGCAGAGCAACAAAACAAAGATGGGGAAGTTAAAAAGCAAATTCATCAAGAAGAAAATGAATCCGCTGGTAGATTAGTTGAGTTCTTCTTCCAGACCGCAAATGCCTTCAAAGTGTATGGTTATTGCTCTTATTCTTTTTTAAGACATTTCTAGTGCCCTTTTAGAACCTAAAACTGCTATGAAGGTAATTTAAGACGAAAATTTAGCGAAAACGATCATATTAATCCCCCCTCCACCTTACAAAAAAGTACACAGACCGTTAATTAATGAATTATTTAACAATAAAAAATACATGGGCCGGCTGGTTGTGCGTACTATAACCAACAAAAAGCCAACATCGGTATTATCTGGAATAAAACGTATTCAATTATCTAATATTTGTGGTGGTAGGCCTACACAAACGTTAGAAATGGTTATATTTGCGCATATTCCAGCCGTTTCTGAACCGATTTTGATCAAAGATGATTTTGTCATTAAAATTGTATGTTCTTTCATTTTTGACACTCATTTTTTCATTATCTCACATAAGAATTATTTTGTGTACCGCCCTCTGCAAGAGAACTCAACTATCGTTGAGTTCTGTTGTAGAGGGCGCCCTGTGTGACGCGTAAAGCCTCATTAAGATATAACTTAAACCTCATTCAGATATGACGCGGTAAACCTTAAGCCAGTTCACATATGATGTGCTAAACCTTAAGCTCCATTCTAATATGGTGGTAAGCAACAAACCTTAAGCTCCATTCAGATATGACGCGGTAAACTTTAAACCTCATTCAGGTATGACACAGTAAACTTTAAACTTCATTCAGGTATGACGTGGTTTAACCTTAAGCTCCATTCAGATATAATGGATAAACCTATAGCCTCATTCAGATATGACGTGGTTAACCTTTAGTCTTATTCACATATGACGTAAAGCTTAAGCCCCATTCAAATATGAAGCGGTGAACTTTTATGCCCATCTACATATAACTTGGTAAACCTTATTTCTATTTCAGATATGACGGGGTAAACCTTAAGTCCCATTCAGATATGACACAGTAAAGCATTAAGCCCCATTCTGATACGATGTGGTAAACCACAGCTTTTCTAATATGATGTAATGGTGATTTGTTTTATATTTCATTTCTGTATCTTATAATACCGACCTCAATGAATACGGGCATGGTCTTTGCTACACGCAGTTGCTGTTTTATGAAGAAAGAAACGCTACGGTTTACTGCTTCGAATCTGATTAAGCATTTAGGATGGGGGTTAAACAATATTGTACATCCTTTTTGAACCACTGTGGCGGACCCTATGTACACAACTCACAAAAATAATCCCCCTTTTTTGTCTTTAAAGGTACCTGAAATTTTGATAACCATTTTCTTTGGAGTTGAAGTCCAGTGGATAAGTCATCGGACGCAGATCACAAGGTACAGGATTAAAATCCTTGCCATCATTACAATCCTTACTAATACACTCTGGCAATACATTAATCTGTATTTGCCACAATCTACCCAGAGGAGGTAAATGGGTCCCAGGTAGGATAAGTCCCTCGAATTTGCTGTGCCCTGATGAGAATGTGATATCACAACAAACATGCAATATGGAAGGGTAAATTGGGCGTTACTTACGCGTCAGTGAGGTTAACACCATAATCTGGTTCCGCTGTTGTTAACAGAATTTAGGGAGAGAAAAGACATTGGAAAAAGCCATAATTTAAATATGTCCATTCAAGAAGAATTTTGTTCTTTCTTTCTCATTCACACAGTCTACAATTTGTTTTTAGCAATACAGGAAAGACTGGAAACATAATGGGAACGGAAAAAAAATGATGGATAAAGTTGACACAAATTGTTGTTATCTTCCTGTCTTAAAATCTCTAAAATGAATCAAATGATTTTTTTTAATGAACCAATATCGTTGAAAATTACAAAGTCCATTATAAAGAAGTACAAGAAAATAGTGATCATAAATTCTAAAAAACGGTCTTACACGGTCTTACACCAATTTACAAGGCTACTGATGAGGGGGAGGTCTCGATCAAGGCGTTATCTTTTCTCATCGTTTTCCCCTTCTCCTTTCCCTTTGTTTCCCCCTCATCTTTTTCTTTGATTTTGTTCACGATTTGGTTGGGGGAGGGGGCAGGGTGCCATGTTCCCATATTCGCTGCATTCCCCTGTATCTATCTACACCACTACATATGGGTACTTACCTTCAATTGAAGTAGTGAGGCTCTGTTCTACGAGTGTTGACGTCCCTTGCTGGATTGAGAGATTGAAAGTCTTCTTTCCATCCTCGGACGGCGAGAACTCGAGCTCGAAGCTCAGGACACTGCTCTCCTCCGTCAGTAGATTCCCAATCGGGATCTAGGTATGATGTGGAAAGGAAATGAAAGTTAGTGGCAGGTGGCAGGAGCTTGACCTCACATGGTTGTGAATTAAATAAGTGTTTTAAAACAATGTATTTCATTTACATGTGTCCATGTTCACCCAAGTACCCGACCTTACAAATTTCACTTCTTGGCAAAAGCCTTGGATCTACAAAGCATAGATATTTCAACAATTGACAAACTTAATGGCATCAGTTTGGTAGAATTTGTGCATCAAAAACTAGAATAATCCACACATTTCATGAAGACAAAAAAAATTTGAAAAGATTAGACTTTATACTTCTTTTCACCATACTTCTTTTCCTTTCGTTATATCAAGTAATAAAGAACTAAATTCATGCTGATATCCATCCCAGATGATGCTCAAGGCACCTACAAGTTCTATTATTGGCCTGGATTTAGTCAAGATGCCCGGCTAATCAAGCAGTAGATTAATGATATATTAATCTACGAATTGAAGAATTGTAACACATTTTTTTCATTTTTACTCACTGTTTTCTGCTTCTCTATGTAACGATCACTGAAGCACATCAATAGATCCTTTGTCGTTGATTCTACTGAAAACTTGGTTACATTCGTCACTGGGCCAAATGGTTCCGACAACTCTTTTTCGGCTCTCTCAATATCCTAAGATAAAAAATGGGTCAAAGCTCATATTGAATGGAATAATAATAATAATAATAATAATGGGCATTTATATAGCGCCGTCTATCTAGAAAAGACATGTGTTGAACAAGTCATGAATTTAAAAAAACATGCAAATAGTATATATTTTTTGCAAGACATCGTTCAGTATTCTAATTTTGTTTAAGATATTGATTGTTATATTAAATTTTTGCATCGCTTTTGTTTTCTGAACTTTACATGTACTAAAACACTTTGTTTAGCTGTTAGAGGTTAGGCTCGACTAGCAATTGTGCTATAATCTGGCCCATTTTACCAACGAATAGTTTCTCTTCTTTTATATTTAATATCATTGTATTGCTGTTGGTAAATAAACCGAATCAAATCAAAAGAAGAAGAAAAACTTCCAAATCATTCATGCCTTTATAGGTCTCCTATAGGGGTGAGTGACGTAAACCCGTAGTGTGACTTTCCGGGAACAGGGCATGAAGAGAGGCTGGAAGGTTACACATCTGAACTGAACTCCTTGGACGTTGGTGGAAGACAAGGCAAAGAGCTGAAGATGGTTTGTAGGGAAAACAACCGTGTCTTTGGAGACGTGGAAACCTTCTGATGAATTAGGAAGCAACCTCCTGCGACTGAACGTTCCTTGATGAATAAAAGAGAGATTTAATACTGCTATATTAAATCTTTGAATCTCGTTAGAATATATATTTCAAGAAAATGAAAGGTGTCGTCCACTCTGATTTTATGTTGGCTTTAATAACAGCAGCAGAATGAGAAATACAGAACGGTGAAAGTTTGAGCAAAATTCGATTAACATATTATAAGAATCATGATTTGTTAAAGTTGCAATCTATGAAACACAAATTGACAATTATGTAATGTATCTTAATTGGGCTATCCCATTTGTTCTGTACTAAAGAATTTACATTTTCTTATTCCTTGATGAAGGTAATAGATGTTTGTTGTCATTCAGGTGTTTTAAAAAAAGTACCAGCATTGTCAATATGAATGTTAAAAAGTGATTAGTCCAGGCCTTAAATATTTTTTGTCTAGAAAGGGTCAATACCTAGTCCTGTTTTGGTGTACAGGATCATCCCTGAGCCATCTCTGCATTGCTTAGGACCGACGCAATGTGGAAGCACTACTGTAGCAGGTTCGAGCAGTTCCTGAGTTAGAGAACAGTCCACGACTGGAGTGATCAACACCTCACCGTCCCTGAGAGGAATCCGAGCAGCGCCCTCTCTAGGTACCCTAATGGTGACCACAGATCTCATTCCCCTGTTTAACGCCCCGGAAGGGATTGCAACCCGGATATCGAGCTCACGCAGCTCCACTACCCCACCTCTGTGATCCAGGACGCTGTTCGAGAAGAACTCCACGAAGCCTGGATCAACTTTGATGGCTGTAATGATTAAAAAGTGACAAAGGTTAAACATTGTGAGGGGTAAAAGAGAGTTTAAAAAGCGAAGAAACAGGGGGTACGAGTTCAACTTTACTGGGTATCTTAATCCAACATCATAAAGTCAATCTACAATTTAGGTAAGCCAACACAAAGCCATTCTGTTCTATAGGTTTCGTTGATTTTTTGTTGTTGATTTTGTTGATTTTTTTGTAGATTTTTTTATATTTTATTATTATTATTATGATTTTTTTTGGTGGGGTGATGCACCAAGAGATGCGGAATATTGTATGCTTACTTTTCTATTGATTCGGTGAATTTTACACGAATAGCAAAAACAATAATTACTTGCAGCTATGCTTTCTGCCGCATCGTTGAAACGGAAAGCTTGGACAATCTCCAAGAGTCTCCCTCGCGTTCCTCCTCTCCTTAGCCATTCTCTGAGCATGTGTAGAACAACCGGATGTACTACGTACGGGGGCAGGGTGACGGTCTTACACATGGCACGCATGATGTCAGAAGCACCAAAGTGCAGGCGTGGGGCAAGCTGAAGCAAGTCTGATACGGAGCACATCGTTTTGTAGAGTTCTTCAAGAGAGTCATCTAGAAATAAGCACATGATAATGTTAGAAAAAAAAACAATAACTAATATTATCATTATCATTATTATCATCAATAATATTATTTATTATTTACACCATTGTTACAATAAATATTAATTTATTTATCACTAATATTTTTAATTATATTGTTGATATTATTATTACAATTATTATTATTATTTCCATTATTATTATCATCGTTATTGCAATGAGGACCTTCGTCATTGCCTTGTTTTCGTTCACATTCTGCCCCATTAATATTCTCCTGGTTTTCCTTATCCTTATCCTTATCGTCAGGAAATCGCATTCGTTTTGCACGTAGTGTTTGTTATTCCTAGTTAGGTGCTTTTCTCGTGTTTTTTTCCTTTCAAATTTCATAGGCATAGTCTCTAACATCTCATCAAGGTCACTACATTCTTCGATTTTCGAAATCATTCATGCATAACCGTCCAGGCGTCATTTTGTCCGTTTCTGGTCCATTTTAAGGCCTTTCTTTCTTCCTTCCTATCTCCACTATCCTAGATCCAACAAATTTCTAACAAATTCCTCTAGATAGTCTAAAAGATGTTCTTTCATCTGCGACGTGTAACCTGACCTTCAAAATGCCATCTTCATACTCAAAATTCAAATCTGAAACCGACTCCGTCAAAAATCTCTCAAATTCTTGAAAAATGGACCCCTAAATAATCTAAAACTGCCATAACTTTCTCATATAAATTCCGTTTTGCATCTAAATCTTACAGTATCTTTAGCTCATAATTGCACATGGCCATGCCAAATTTCACGCTCCAATGGCTTTGCAAAACATAAATAGCGCCCTCTAAAGTTGTCCGTTTCTGGTCCATTTTAAGGCCTTTCTTTCTTCCTTCCTATCTCCACTATCCTAGATCCAACAAATTTCTCGACATTTTCGGAGATTGCGCCGCAACCGCTTGAAATTTTGAATTGTCGTTTCATGACTTTTTTCCCTCAAGTCTTACGCACGTTTTGATACCATTTTCGTCGCAATCGGATATACCTGTGAGGTGTTACATAACAATTAGTATGCGCATGTCATCAAAAATATGCTATAATTGCATATATTCATATACAAGCAGAAATGTGAATACAGGTTTAGATGTATTCCTTCCTAAGTGGGTGATATGAATTGATATCGAATTGCTTTTATATGTTTCTCAAAGTAACTTGATGTATTCCAGAACAAAAGAATACATAAGAAATAAAAACAATAGATATAATAAGAAATAAAAAAAACAATAAAATACATAAGAAAATAAATATTTGAAAATCGCATCAAATTTGCATAAATTATCATTATTAATTACATCCAAATAAATATTTTGTGTTAGAAAAGAAGTTTCATATGAATAATGAGTTTCAACGTTCAAAAAGTGGAGTTTGACACGTTTTCTGTAAAATGCATAAAATTAGCATTTTGCATAATTAATTAGGCTATAACGACAAAAAGTTGCATATTCGCAAAAAACTAATTACACCATCTTGTTCGTTACGTAAATATCTACAAACATGCAAATTTTCGTGTTCATCGGACATCCGACGGCCGAGATCATAGGGGGCCCCCCCCCCCAGTCAGGAGGTGCTCAAAATAGCCCAGTACAGTAAGGGTTAAGGACGTTGTAATTAATGTCTGTCTGCATATTTGTTCACGTACATGTAGCTCCTGAATAAAAAGAGTTTTTCTGCTATTCAAATTTACATGTCAAATCTTATGGCATGTATGTCGTCATACCAAATGTTTACAAAATATTTGCACCATGCACTGAATATTTTTCAAAGTTATAACGTAAGTATACCAAGCTACGTAGTCCATGCATGTGCTTTGATATTGGGGGTGTTTAAGCGCTCTTTTCAAGAGGACCATACCGTACCGCACCGTGGTTCTTTGTCCAAACTACCATCCACCATGAGAACCATGGTAATCATGGTATTAAACCATGGTAATTTCATGGTACTTGATTGTATAAGGGCATGCAATTACACTGGTTTGATACCATGATGACTATGGTTTTCATGGTGGATGCAAATTTGGAAAAAGAAACACGGTCACCACGGTACTTTTGTTATAAGGGATATATTAAGCGAACCATACCGCTAAAGAAGAGTGCCGCTGCAGACCAAAACCCGAGGTGGTCTGGAGAGTGCCAAGGTACCGTACTCACCCCGAAAAGCACCTGAAAGCAAGGTGGTCTATAGCATACCGTGCTGGAAGTAATCGAGCGCGCCATGTTGTGTGGGTTTTTGTTATTCATGTATTCTGAAATTGACACAGTACGAGTTCAAACAGGTCATTGCATCGGGGCAGGCCAGGCGGCTCAATAGTTGTTCGAAATGGTGCGCCAAATACTCTCGCAAAACGAATCACCCGGCACGGCACGCAATGGCATTGTTTGGTTCGGTATGGTACGCTTCCGAAAGCGCTTGAACACATCCTTAGTTGTGTATTTGGTTGCATATATCTACAGGCTCCATGTCTGTGACCCAATAAATTACACTATATACGCATAGGGCACTTCTGTTTTCCAATACTAATCAGAGTGGGAAGGCAATATATTCTTGTGGAATGAAATTGTTCTTGTTCAAAGTTTGATGGGAATTTTCAGAATACCAAGAATAACCCAAGAGTGACCACGTCAGTAATACAATTTTCTTGTTCATGCAATCTCAAGTCAAATATTTGTAAAAGTCGATATAGGGCTCTCTATGATATAAATATACTTACCCAGTTGTAGCTGATTGTGATACATTTCGATCATGTGGTAGAATGTAGATAACGAAGACACATGGCCGGGGAAGGAGAAAAAGAAGACAAAATATTTATGTTGCAATAGATTAATTCTTTTGTGATATAACTTCTGGGAATAACTCCAAAGATATAAGTAGGAAAGAAAGATTTAAACATATTTAGGAAAAAAACCTTGAACCTCAACCTTTAATAATCACCCTTGCATGAAGGCGTGGTTAGACCACGATGATCAATCAAGAGAGGAAACGTGAACAATAGCAAAAACGGTCAAAATATGTATGAAAATAACCACAACATCTTTATTCACTTTTCAAAAACTAAGAAATAATCAGTACAAATATATTCACACTATAAACCTGATGGTGATTGAATTTTCTCCTGCAACAATTGATCCAGCTTATATTTTGTCAAAACTAAGGGGTACGGATTAAGGTTAGGTTAAGGGTTGTAACTGGGTTTTATGATAGGTTTAGGGTTAGTATCAGGCATAGTGTTATGCAGGGTTGAAAATAGCTAGATCAATGGTAGGAAATGCCGCGGAGCGATTGATGCAAGAGCAAGTGCCATTCAACTAACCTGAAATCTCTGTCTGTTCGGCTGGCGAGACCAAAGATTTCATGAGCGAGAGAAACGTTTCCTTCGCTTCTTGGCCGGAGATCTGTCTCTTTCTCCATGTTACCAGCATGTCGTAGATGGCCTGCTCTCTGTTACAGAACCTCCTATACTCTATAACATCCAACTGTTGTATGGTGAAACCAAGAGCCACTCCCAAATCATAGTACTGGTTCACCGTCATCATCTGAGCTATCGTGATGACATCAATGTCGGGAAGGTCACTGCCGGAGAGCTCTTCCACAGCCCTGAAAAATATACAGTCAAATCTGATTTGGCGAACTTGTCTAGAGAGACGGCCTGCCTATGAAAAGTTTATACCATGTTTCCCTTGAAATTTGTTTCCTATTGAAACCTGTCTGTAAACTGCCTTTTTTGCAGGGGGTGGGGGGGGGGGGGGGGGGGGGGGGAGGGGAAAGGGAGGGTTGAATACACATTTCTTTTCAAAATAGGAATATACTTTAACCATATATTAATGGTTAATCCTTCATAAATCTTTTATTTCTCTGCGTTGACATTTAATATTTAATTTCATAATGTAAAGAAATGTATAATGTCAATGAAGTGCAATGAATGATATTAGGTATGCATGGCTGCAGTCCGTTTCTTGAGAAGTATCATGAGTATCAAGTATTGAATTAACAAAAAGAAAGTGGATCCTTGAATCAACCATTTCTGAAAACGACATCATAAAAAAAAACTGAGAGCTTACCGAATAAATGTAGAGGGCTCAGTAGATACTTGACATGTCGAGTCATCTGCAATAAAAGTAATTCATCATTTAAAAAAAAATAAAAGATTAAATCGGGGATAGATTTTCCTTTTACTAATATTAACATTAACAAAAATAATGATGATAATAATATGTCTTGTTAACCCAATGTAGCCACACCAGTACTGATACTGCTCTTTCTCTTAGGGCCCTGCAATAATATTACCAAATACTACTGTCACATGAGTCTAGATGTTAGAAAATGAAAACCACAATCATCATCCCAAAAACAAGAGCAAGAGCAGGAACAAGAGCTTAAATTAGGAACAACATTCATATCATAATTATCATGACTTTCATCAATCTCTATCATGGAGAATAAAATGTTTCCACCAACCTGTGTATCTGATGACGAACGCCAACGATTGAGACCTCCGACCTAGTCTTCCAGCCTGTGAAATCGTCAGGTAAATGACTGAGAATTCTGCATCATCCTCGCTAGGAGTCATTGATAGCAATAAGTTGTGTCTCTTTTGGCTGTGAATATTTTTCAAAGAAAGTAGCTGTGGGCAAAAAAAATACAACCAAACAATTAAAGTTAAACGTGTAATTAAAGACCACCCAGGGAGGTGTTTCACGAAGACTAAGATCGACTTTAAGTTGGACTTAACTATGGCAGGCCGTTCATGCCACTGCTTGCTCTCACCATTATGACCTTCAGATAATATTCTTTCCTTCAATAATGAATTATCAACAACAAAAAATCTGTAGATTTGTGACCATTTTGTACGTCCCTTGAGAGACCAATGCCAGTAAATGGTGAGAGCAAAGAGTGGCATGAACAGCTTGCCATAGTTAAGTCCAACTTAAAGTCGATCTTGATCTTTGTGACACGCCCCCCTGGGGTGGTAACATAGTGGTCTTTACGAGAAGGCAGTCTTTATGTACAGATTTCTATAAATGGTTTGATGACAAACACAATTCAAGGGGAACCAGAAATGTGGCCTTAAATGTAAGATATTATTATTATTATAGACATGTGATCTTTCTATGCAGGCTGTAGCTTAAAGCACATTTGACTGTATTTTATTTTATGCAGTTAGCTATGAAATTTAAAGGAAACAGTTGAAGGCAAAAAAGTTGATTAAAGGTTTGAAAAAGATGGTCGGGTGCTAGCAATACCTCAGTGTTGCTCATCTTGCCTTCACCATCACAAGTCACTGAAATGTCACCGGATTTAGCTTCGATAGAGACTGGAAAGGAGCGATGTGCATTGTGGTATGAACTCTGCTTCATTTTACGTTTTGTTAGGGGTCAATATTTATATAATTTAAAGCAATGTTTGCAGAGTCGAATTCGAATTTGATATTTCAAGTCAATGGTCTTTGTCAGGCTGCCAATCATCTCTAAAGATATTACTCATTTGAGTCTTTTGGGAACAATCCAAGAGTCCGATCTTTCACTTTAATCATAAGTGTGGTGTTGTATTGCTTTCAATAAATGTAGAATGTAGAATTGTTTATTTTAGATGTGATCAAAAGTCCACAACTAGTTTCCAATTGTATAAATGTAATGCTTCCTGGGAGAAATTTCAATTATTTAAACATATTTGTGGATTACACCTAGTAAATAAGATCGATTGCCATGGACCAGTGATGGTCTGGTGGTAGAGTCACTGCCCGGCAAGCAGTAGATGGCAGGTTCAAGTCCCGCTGGTTCCAATATTTTTTCTGACTTGTTTTTCAATACAGATCGATCAATCGATCTTATTTACTGGGTGTAAGCCACAAATATGTTTAAATAATTAGTTTCTAATTCTAATCTATATTTTGTTCTTGTTTTGTTTTGTTACGTATTCTATATTTTACAAATCACTTTTAATCACCAGTTACAACGTAGACCACTCGACTATGACTTCATTTCTACATTTCTTCCAAATGCCCATGTTGATTTAATATTTCCCTACCATGATAATATTATATGGCGAATGATTTCATCCTTGGCATAGTGGACTGGTGCGTTGCCTTGTATTGTTAGACAGGTGGTCTTTGTAGACAGGTAGTCACTAAAGCAGGTTTGACTGCAATTGTATTATGTAATACAGGGCTCTCTTGCAAAGCAGTTTTGATGTACTGAAGAGACCACCATGTATATATAAACTTTTGAACGAATAAAGATATATATATTTCTAACAACCAGTTATTCCATCAATCAAAGGTCACATCTCACTCTCTTTTTTAGTCTATTCGGTTCGTTGGTCCCATTATATGGAATTCATTATCCCCTTGATACGCAATACTCAATTTGAAATTCCTTTAACAATAAGACTCTGCTTTCCACTCTGCTTTCCACTGGTACTGCCTGAACTGCAAAGCACCAGCACTCCACGTAGTCAGAGATGACTTCGACATTGAGGAGAGGTGCGAAGCCTTTTTTGAAAAACTGTCTGGTAGAATGCAAAAGCTGGAAATGGCCATGTCCAAAAAAGCGGAAAAAGTAGAAGTCGAAGGGATAAGAAATAACATAGAACATTTCTGAAGCAGTACAAGTGAACTGACAAAGGAATTAGAGAAGCTCTCTTCAGAAGTTGAGGAACTGAAATCAAATAGAGCTGAAGGAACTGAAGAGGTAGCAGCTATGTATATCAATGAAATGGAAGATAGAAACAGACGGAAGCAGAACTTAATCATCTTCAGTATTGGAGAAAGTGAAGACCCAGATCCCATAAAAAGGAGGGAAACTGATATTGCCAACGTCAGTAAAATCTTTGGAGAGATTACAAGCACAACCATCGAAATCACTGATTGTAGACGTTTGGGCCAGAGAAAACTGAAGAATGAACAACAAAATCTACGCCCCATGAGAGTATCAGTAAGTGATCAACATCAAAGAGACATCATTCTGAAGTCAGCAAAGAAGCTTAGAGAGAATGACGAAACCAAACACATTACAATCAGGAATGATATGACTCCTAGAGAAAGAACGGAAGACATCAGACTTAGGAAAGAATGGCAGGCAAAAAAGGAACAGTCTGTCAGTGCTGGAGATACAGAAGCAAAATGGATCAGGAGAGGAGGGAAAGTTGTAAACATTGGAATGTACATTCAGAAACAAGGCTAGACAGAGAGAGGGACAGTGCAGGGCCAGGAGAAATCCCACATTCAGGCCCCAGGTACTGCCAATCCATAGAAGTACATGGAAAAGGAATGAGACATTTTTACTCTGCACCCGTACAAGCACTTCATGTAGCACCTGTTATTGCACCAACCAGCACAGAGACTCCAGCACATGCCACCGGCAATTGTGCAGTATTTACATGTACACATGTTGCAAAAAGTAACTCTACTGAAGTTGTGGAAAATTCAGAAGGAAATTGTAGTGATGTTAGTATTGAAACAGAGAGCAACTCTTTTGATGTTGGGAAGGATAGACAATCAATAAAAGCTGGAAAGATTAAAGTCGTATGCACTAATGTGGACACACTTACCAACAAAATGGAAGAGTTTGAAGCCAGAGTAAGATCAGAGAAACCTGGTGTCATCTGTGTTCAAGAGATTCTCCCCAAACATTCCAAAGATGCTGTAAATGCTGAAATTGAATTGAAGCTCAATTGATATGATATGTTCATTTCCCCAGCTGCAAGGAGAGGAGTTGCAACATACGTGTCAACCGAAATGTCCTCGTCAAGACAAATATACTTGCTGACCGAATTTGAAGAGTCTGTATGGTGTGAGATCCAAGTTGATGATGGCAAGGAAACTCTTAATTGGAAATGTCTACAGGAGCCCAAGTTCTTCTGACATAAACTCTAGCAATTTATGCTCCTTGATGACAGAGGCGAGCGACAGAAATGGTGATCTGATGATAGTGGGAGACCTGAATCTTATAGACATTGATTGGGCTAGAAACATCGCAAATTGCTCAGAAGACCACCCAGCTTCTTACATACTGGACAACATTAATGATCTATACTTGAGCCAGCATGTTACACAGCCAACAAGATTTAGAGAAGGACAGAGGGAAAGTCTGCTAGACCTGGTGCTTACCAACAACGATGAGACCATTGACATCGTTAACATCAACCCACCCATAGGAAAGAGTGACCATGGAGTACTTTGCTTCCATGTAAACCTAGGAGAAGTGGCTAAGAAGAACAGAACTTCATACAAATACTACAAAGGAGATTATGGTGCTATTAAAGATGACATAACGAAAGTCAATTGGGAAGCAGAGCTAACAAACTTGAACATTGAGAAATCATGGAAACTGTTTGAATGCACTGTTAAACAGAGTGTAGACAAGCATATTCCTAAAGCCAGAATAGGACAAAGTGCTCAACCATCATGGATGACTCTAACAACAAGAAAACACCTAAAGGATAAGCATAAAGCCTGGAACAAATACCAAAAGAACAGTACTGCGGACAACTGGAGGATGTTCAAAAAGGCTCGAAATGCAGCCACAGAGGAGGTGAAAAAGTCAAAACAAGATTTTGAAAGACAGATTGCAAGAGAAATCAAGGAGAATCCTAAAAGTTTTTGGAGTTATGTGAAGAAAGGAACAGCAAGTCACTCACGAATTCCTCCTCTACTAAAACAAGATGGATCACTTGCTTATAATCCAGAGGATCAAGCAGAAACACTAAATGACTTCTTCATTAGTGTATTCACAACAGAGGATACAAACCAAATCCCGAAGCCAGTGCCATTAGAGGTGGTAGAGAGCCTGGAAGAGCTACAATTATCTGAGGACACCATCCTGAAACACCTCGAGACACTGAAGCCTGACAAATCCCCTGGTCCAGATGAGATACACTCAAAGGTATTGAGAGAGACTGCAGATGCTATATGTATTCCACTCTATCTGATTTTCAAGAAATCCATGAATGAGGGACAAGTACCAACAGCATGGAAAAAAGCCAAGGTTGTCCCATTACACAAATCAAGACATAAGGATGGCAGTGGTAATTACAGACCAGTGAGTTTAACATCTGTAACTTGCAAAGTCATGGAAAAGATATTGAGAGATAAAATAGCAGAGCGCATGGAAAATAATGAGCTTTTTCTGCCAGACAACATGGGTTCAGAAGTGGAAGATCATGTGATTCACAGTTATTGGAGGTATTAGAGACATGGTCACAACTTGAAGACCTTTCAATACCATTTGACTGCATTTACCTAGATTTTTTGAAAGCTTTTGACAGTATCCCTCACATCAGGCTGATTGCAAAGATTGAAGCATATGGAATTCAAGGGAAACTCTCCAAGTGGATCAAAGCCCTACTGACATGTAGAACGCAAAGAGTTAGAGTAGATGGAGCCTACTCATCATGGAAAAATGTAACAAGTGGCATTCCGCAAGGGTCTGTGCTCGGCCCGATCTTGTTCCTCATCTACACCAACGATCTTCATCTAGCAGTAAACTCTAGTGTTGCGCTGTTTGCCGATGACACCAAAGTATATGGACCGGTAAAGGGTGCAGCAGATGTCAACAAATTGCAATATGACAT